TAACGTACGAATGCCGTCAGGAAAGGAACTTCCAGCCTTTAAGGCAATAAATTCTTGGCCAATTTTACGCAGTGACCGGACAAATGGTAGTCGGATGGGGCCAAGTCTGGTGAATATGCCGAGTGTGGGAGAACTTTCCTAACTCCTAACTCAGCTGCAAGATCTTGTTGCTTTTGTGTTGAGTCTTCATCTAGTAGAGCTTGCAGTTCTGCATCTTCAAACTTCCGAGGCTGTCCGGGACGCGGCCGGTCACTAAGACTGAAACCCTTACTTCGAAAACATTTGTGCCAGAAATTACACGTTTCATAGCACACAAAGACGGCTCACGAACTCTATTATTCCGAGAGGTCATATAACTGGCGTAGACGTGTTGTTAGGTGTCGTTAAACCTTGCGCCTGACCTTTTAAAAGGCGTAAAAGTCGGCAAAAGCATAATTTTAAGGTCGAAGCAAATGTCTGTACAAATTAAATTATTCACTTGAAGGATTGATTCTTGAGTCATGATGGCATTTGTGTCGGGACTGATTATAGCGTAAAAGCGCCTACGGACAGGCAGCGCCAAACGGCCAAGTCCACGTGGAAGCTGTAGTCACAACCTTAGACGTCACGTGACTGCTGAAAGGGCTCTTCGCGTCTTCCTGAGACGGCCTCAGGTAATAAGGCGTCGTGGCCACGGGGACCACGCACATTCAGTGACGAATGTCCACGCACCTGTGGTCTGTCGCTTTGATGTCTGGTATAACGCCGCAATGTCTGGTTAACACACATTAACTCAATCACGCCACCGACCCGTTAATGGCATTCTCACATGCCTGCAAGCTAACAACATGACTGCTGCTCAATGTCTCAATGTTGAGTGGTGAAACGCAGTCATAAGAGGACGTCACGCCTCCTTAATTGCGCCAATACCCTTAATTAGCGGAAAAAACCACTCACAGCACGTGCTCGTTCCGGATTTCGAGAGTCAAAGTCAGTGCAGACGCAAATCAAATGAATCGAGGATAATGTGTGTTTGGCTTTTAATGAACCGTGCTGTGAGATTTGTTCAAATTGTATTAAAAGGGGATTTGGACTATCCAATTAGACTAGGATCGTAACTCCGTGCAGGCGGAAAGTAACAAATTTACAAAACTCGTTCGAATTCATTGTACACAGCCGAAAAGGCCATTATGACAACCCCTCTACACACACCATCTAACTGGTCGGTTTTGATAAAGGCAAACTACGTGTGTATTAATGTTTCACAACCAAAAAGAGAACAAACAAAACAAAACTCCTGGGAGCGTCTGAGTGCGGCGCGCTTTGTGGGAAACACAAGTGGTGACACTGAAAGAAAAATACACAGTTTGCCCAGTGTATTTACGGTTGCTTTTTGGCAGCGAGAGAACGTTTTCTGTGTTTCCCCAAAGAGGGGAAAAGACTTCCAAAGTGGGCAAGAGCCAATCACTGGAAAGCTGAAAGAAAGCACTCGAAACGTATTCGCATCCGAACACAAAATTTGCCAACTCAGCTGGCTCGAATTTAGCGTTTAAGAAGGGTGAAAGGTGAAAGTCACGCTGACACTGGTCAACGTCTGGCCTAGTTTATGCGAAACAAACAGGACTGAACAATACAGACACCATGGCTACAGGGACCAAAAATAACCCATCCCAAATGGTTGATTTTATTCTCATGACAATAATCCCTTTGATTTCTGAGAAACGCAACAACCAGCGCCCAGTTACTTGACATTTTAGTTGTCTATTTTAATCCTTGAAAAATGCAAGTTTTTAGCAGGGATGGAAATTCATGTAAGATTTCCGTCAGACCACAAGACAGCAAAATCTAATTGTTTTGTTACTGTGGTAGTCGTCAATTAAGAAGGTGTCTTTAGAATGAAAACAAAGGCTTTTTTTACTCTAGCAAACCATTTGATTTGCAGATAAGGTGATGCTCAGAGACACGAAGGCTGTCTCTGTGAAAATAATTTCCAGGTGACCTCAAGGCGTTTAACCAATAACATTGCCTGTGATTCGATGAAGGGGTCTAGATGTACGATTTCCAACAATCTTGATTTTAAGAAGACGGAGTGGTTTCCGCCATCCTGATATCACTTACATGACCCAGTCTGCATTTGACCAATAAAATTATGGAGTTGTCGTTACAACCAGTAGACGCAACATAACCGAGACTCACTCTGATTGGCCCTTAAGCGCCACACCGATCGGATCGATTAGGAGTAGCCAATTTATGATTTATTGACAATTATTATGGGTGTGACTAAATTTATACATTCGAGGTTAAAATTATATTTAAAATAGAAATATTTTAGCTGTCTTTTTTGGTTTTGAAAGGATATGATGCGAGGTTTCAAAACACCGAACGTTATAAAACATCCCAGAATTGCAGAGTTTATGATGGCGCTGTATTTTACACGAATTTCAACAAGGAAATCATGACCTTGTGCATATTGGTACCAATGTGTTAGAAGTGGTGATTTTGACCGTTGTGACCAGCAACCCCCCTGGACAGTAGCCTCGAGAATTTGAAGATCCAGAATTTCAAGCTCTGTTGAATGAAGGCTAAGCGTAAAGGCAGCAGGAGCAGGCAGATCAATTAGAGTCACCCAAACAGCCATTTTAAAGCGTTTGCACCAAGATGGAAAAAAAATCAAAAACTTGAACGTTGGATCCCCCATGTGTTGACCAAATAAAACCAAGATCACCGTATGAACACATGCCTTTCACTGCTTGCCTGCCGGCAATAAGCAGTGAATGGACATCTTGTGGAACATTCTGTTACGTTTGCCCGTAACAAACAGAAGACCACTCAAATAGCGGTACCAGATTTCTTGCTAAAAGCTAGAACCGACCTTCCCAGGCTAATACAAGAACAAGACCAGAGCTCGAGTAGAGAGCTTTATTCACGTCAGCCACGTGCAGAGAAGAAGTGGAATCGAAAGTGAAAACGAAACTAATTCAAGGTTATTCAAAAGGTTTGACTTTGTTCCTTATTTTTTAAAATTAAATAAATTTACTGCGAAATTGCGTTTTAGTAAACAAAATTAACGGAGACAATCAGGATACTGAATATTTTTTGTATTGTTTTATTCCCGAGGCACTGTTTAATAATAAACTGGTGAGGAGGAAGGTGTGAGGATCAGTTTTTCGTCGTGTCTAGCGCGCGTATTGATTAGTGTGCGCTCATCAGCTGCTTACGCCGTGCGAAGGCCGTTAGCACAGATAAACGCGAAAAACAGCACCAGTTTTTTATGTATGTTGATAATCGATGTCATACGACCACAAGACTCTCATTTAAAGTAAGCAAAACCTAATAAGGGCAAAGAACGAGCAGAGAGAGCTCTTGGTGTTCTATCCGTAGATTTTTAATGTGACCTTGACACCAATTCAGATGAATTAGTTATAAAAAGGCGAATGAGCCAATAGTAGTGAGGCGGCCGATATGAATTCGTTGAATGGTGTGCATAAACACAAAAAGTGGAGGTTTAATAAAATTGTGTAATTGTACGCAAATTATGGATGGTTATGCACTGCACGCACTTGCACAAAAATTGCTTCGGGTTAAAAGGGCTCTTTTAAATGAAACAAAAACACGTTTTTATGAAAACAAAAAGTGACATTTTGATATACCTTTGACAAGTTTATGATTTCAGAACCTTAGACCTCTTGATTCGTAGAGGTGAAAACGGCAACAAGTGTGATTTTCAGTGTTTTGGTTTTGGGATTCAAAAAATTTTCCATCCCTTCACCTCAAAAAAAAATTAACTGCAAGTAGCCAGTATGAGAGTGCGGCATTGCATCGAAATGGTGGAATACGATTCGTTGACAATTTACAAGTTCTGGTTGTTGTTTTTTTAATTGTTTACAGTTAAATTCATTGTATTAGTCTTCTCGATTCCTCTTATTTACCGTTCCACTTAGGTGCACTCGACGGAAAACTATCTCTGATCGCCTACACCAGGGTGCTTGAATTCCCCAACCTAGTTGTGCGCACGTAATGAAAATTGATGATTCCTGTTTAGTAAAAAACACCAAATGTTTTAATTACCTATCCCAACGACTGGCTTGCTAAATCAATAGGTTGGTTGGTTCGTTAGAAGGACTTAAAAGCAAACCCACAAAATTAACAACCATTTCCTTTTTGTCCTATGCAGATTTCGAGGTCAATTAACCTAAAAGAAATGATGGAAAAAATTGGTTAAATCGAACAACAAAACGTCACTCAAGTGCAATGCACTCAGCGAAACCCATTTAGACTTGACTGTTTACCCGTTAAATCAACACTGTTTTCCCAGTAATCCGTGATTTCCATTCGGAAAACGCCCACAATCGTTTAATAGGTTGCAATAAAACGAAAAAGACGTAATTTTACTGCAGAAAGTGACCCAGATCTGGACATCAGGGTGTTGTTATTTTGCAAACACCAGTGTTTTCAAACTGACTAGACAACCTGTCTGCAACAACACCACCACACACCAAATGGGCTTCAGTCGTTGCATGTTTATCTTACAAAAAATTCACGTGATGTGCCCACGGGGAGGCCGTCAGACATGCACCAGTCTGCGTGTCATCCTAAATGAACCGATCAACTCACTGAACTTCCCGCTCGACAACCACTCGTCGAAGACTGCAACACCACTCCAGGCCACAACACTGCTGAGCATTTCTTCAAGATTTCACCGGCCATCAAAACCACGTCTTCCACGAGTGTCTGTGTGAGTGGGATGGCTGCAATGACATGCATCTCATAAACGACAACGTCCACTTTCACTGTAGACCTGACCGGTGGCAGAGAAGTTGCATTCTCACAATCGTGGTTTCGTCAAATCCACCAAAAACTGTGGACGGTCATGTAATTACGCGTGAGGGTTCACTCAATCACGCGTCGATGGCGTGTGATCAGACGATCACATTAGTCGTGGTAATGGCTAGAGCTGGTGAATTAAGTAGCAACTGCACTGCGCCCAGTGTCTAGTTCGTGGTGTAGGCTGTCTCCACGCGTTAGCGATACGACTGACTGACTGACTGACCGACAATACCCACTCCACGGCTTGCACTACCGTCAACGATGACCTGTGAGTCGGTGCGTTGTGGTGAAAGTTCGCACATCCGGCGTCCACACTGTGCACTCGAGCAGTGGAAGGCGGTACTTGTGGCTGTGGTGTGCACTGCCGTCTGGGTAGGTGTAAGCGTGGACCAGTCGGACTGGGGGCTGCAGGGCATATGGTCGTGAAGACGTGAGCAGAGGGCGATAAAACTGACCAGGTCATTAGCGTCGCGTGGGTTGGTGAGTTGGTGGGTTGGTGGGTGGGTGGGTGGTAGGAGGGTGCTTAATGGACCTCTCGACTACGCCACGTTACACGCACTCACACAATGTCAATGCATTCAGACAGAATACCTGGCGAAATACCAGACATCTGCCAGACACATTGTGCATCACCGTCGAGACCATAAAAAAACAGGCACAATTAATAACAATCCGACTGGAGGCAGATGTCTCGTTGGCTCGCCCACAATAGTAACGCCTTTGCAGGTTCACTCCTTTCACCCGCTACACCCACACACCCACACACACACACTCACGCACATAACATTTCGTCAGGCTGAAATGCTATTCTCCACTGCTATGCGGCACTTCGACTCGGACGCCATCGCTATCGACTCAATGTGTTCTGTCGACGTGTGTGTGACAGTGTCTCGACACGTTTAAGCAAATCACACGCAGCGCGCTTACGCAAACTCCACATCTGACACCAAAGTGTGACCGGTTAGTTTCGAACTGGCAGCTTAACTCACCACTGAGCGAATTCCCATGAGTAAGGTACAGGTCATGAGAAAAATTAAACAATCCCAAGTACGACGCAACACGCTCTAAACATTTACATCTGTGCCTTGAGTTGTGGACGGTGGTGCCGTTGACGTGGTTGCGATTCTGGCAAATGGTGTATGCTCAGTAGTTCAGGAGCGAGGTGGTGTTCGACAGCGTTCAAGGCTCGCTATCGGCTTGAAGGACATCGTACGTCAGATGTCGAACTGGTTGCATTACACGATCTCACCTCGTAATGCAACTGGAGTCACTAAACGCCTCAGTGTGCCCGACTTTGCTCCATTCAAACAGCCTCGTCTGTGTCGCGATACTTACAGCATCTGCAACTCACGAAACCACGCACATTCGTGGGATACCTTGCTGATTCCGAGCTTCGCATTGTCGAGTTTGTGCTGGTGTGCAATGTGTTGGTAGATGCCTTCCTCAGTACAACACGACTTCAAAAAACAACCTATGCAGCTGCCCAGTGTCGCGATTCAGCACAACAAAACCACCCTCACCGACACACTCCTCCAGCATTTCCCAAAAATTAAACATTTTGCCAGCATAATTTAACACACTACAATTAGTTGTGTGTGGGCATTGGATGTAACTTTGAACCCACGCTATTCACGCCAGTCAATTCCACGCACATTTGATCCAGGATCATCTGTTTGAGACGCTGCGCCAAATCACCCTCATTGCGAATTCTAACCGACACCTTCCACGAACTAACATCATGCAAGTTCACTACTTAGACACAAATAGTCTCTGTTGTGAATCGTGTTCGTATACACTCCTTAATGCTGTTGCACCATCGTCCGACAGAGGGTCCCACTTTTCGCAGCATGTCACCAGCCCCACGCATCCTCAACTGCCCCCTCGTCCGCACAAACATTTCTTCTGCATCACCCTCACACATAGTACGCGCAAACCCCACACACGACATAACGACACCAACGTGGTGGAGCTCTGAAGTGAATGGTTATATCCACGTCGTCCTCTCCGGTTTTTTTCCGCACCACGGGAATCAGGGAAGCGCGAACGGGCCCGGGTTAGTTCAGTGGCCTCGATGTGGTCCAAGACCACATGCTGGGGCCCACAACAGCTCTACGACGCAATGCGAACAATGAGCACAGGTCATTCAATTTAGACCATATCAATTGCTGCTAGTCAATTTGTTCACCACAACACCTCAAACACACTCCCCATGTGAAGTGCCGCGCCGCCTTCAAAATTTGCATACTCTCCGCAATACTTCGGCTCCCCTGTCCAATTCCCTGGCTGGTTACGGAGGCGGCAACGGCCCCCTTTTGGCCACGTGAGCAACCTGCTTGAGCAGGTCCGTCATGAGACCGTCGGTTGTTTTTCAGTTATTGTCTGCGCCTGGTCAAAACACTTGTGTTTATGTAAACAACGCGTGTCCAAATTTGGGACACACTTCAATCTGCCAAAACAGCCCGCCTACTTTTCAAATGGCTAACCATAACTTCACAGCGCACTGCCACCCAACTCTACCTCACTTATTCAACCGCACCTGTCTGCATAAACAAGTCACCACTGAAACCTTCGCACAGACCACAATGCTGCGTGTTCGCTTCATCACCGGCATGCCTTACAGGAACGAATGCGCTGGCTAACCGGCCGTCTCACTCCTCTCCACTTTGCCCTGTTTCGCACCGACTGTAACCACCTGATTGGCAGCTTCGCCATCTCATGCTTCGACCAATGATGTGCGGGCACCAGTGACGTAGACACGGTGCGGCCAGTAGCGCACGTGGTACTCCAGACACGCGCAGTTAATCGTGCACACTCATCTCAGACACGTGACATCGCGTGTCCACGCCACAATCGATCAGCGTGTTGCTGAGTGAGTGAGGAGTCAAACGGGTACACACAGGAAATGCAGTTGGTCCTGTCGCGTTGTGTCGAGCACCCGCCTCGTTATTCCCTCCTCTCTCGACGTATTGTGTGGCCGCATCCACCGTCTCTTCTCCATCGTCTGAATTTGAGTCCGCCAACTTTTCCGTCCATAGTCATTTCCTCTACGTCAACTGGGAGAAGGGACGAATGCAAACAGCCATTTAATGGGCCCACACAATGCGACAAGGGAGAGCCACTTTGCGTAGAGGAGAAATTAGAGATCAGTTGTCAAAGAATACGGTTTATTCATTAGGAAAAATACAGAAAGCAGGTTTGTTTGGTTTGGATGAGTGTAACTGAGTGTTGATTGTCAGTCTATGGTTTCGCAATAATGCATTCCTGTTTGATCTCCGAAAGCGGTATTGCCGATTATTAATTGGATCGCTTAATCGATAAGTAATTATGCCTGGATTCGTGATCACCTAATAACCCAAGTGCGCACATATATGCATAATTGTGAAATGTGACTCTATGATCGCCTTCGAGTGTAACTACGTGTGCTGATTGATCGATGACTCATGAATGCTCGCAACTGTCCAAAGTTGAAAACGCTGATTAAATCCCTAAGTGACTGTCCCTCTGTCGGCCTGGCAGTCACGTGTCTCTTATTGGTCCACTTTCGTATTGCAAAATGTGCACTGATGGTTTTCGGTAGTGAAAACGAGAGGATAGGATGAGAGGTTGAACACATTTCTCACGAAATGAATGATGACACACAAGGTTCATCGGGAACAAATAATCGCTGCTTCACCAACTCACCGACCGATTGTCTACCAGACACGACTTAGCTGAGATGTGTATATACGCTACTACTTGTGGCAGGTTAATTGGGCGTTTCTAGATTACCACGTGCCTAGCTGGCGCAATCAGTGTTTACGTCACTGGTCCACACACAACAGAAAAACAAGCCTGATTTCTCTTTTTTCCCTGAGGAATAAGCCATTTTCTTTGTCAAGTAATCTCTAATTTCTCCTCCACGCAAAGTGGCTCTCCCTTGTCGCATTGTGTGGGCCCATTAAATGGCTGTTTGCATTCGTCCCTTCTCCCAGTTGACGT